TTTGTTTTTGCATGAATATTTGGATCTTAACTACACCACACTCTGATTTCAGGCTTTGACAGGTTAAGGTATGGATGCAGAGCTTCCAGACAAAGTCTGTTAGCCCACTGTAACCCACTGAACCTGAAACTGATTTGAAACAAAAATTTAATTCATTAAAACATGCTCAGCTGTAATAGTACATAGCACTTCCAATGCATCTACTGAAGAACATTACCTTAAAACATATGAGATATGGCAATATGATTTCTAATTTTCAGAGGAATAAAATCAAGATGGAGATTGAGCAGTTTGTTCAAAGTTACATAGGAATTCCAGGGAAGGCTTGAAAATAGGACCTGGGTTCCCTGCTTCCCACTCCTGTGCTTAAGAACATTAACACCTCCTACAGAAGTGAAAAAAGAAGCCATGTATGCAAGCTTATTTGCTTCTAGACCAATTATTTACACATATAGTAATGCTGCTGAAAAGCATGGGTTTCTCTCACTAAGCCATTATTGGCTGTATATTCTTATCAGAACTGACAGGGAGAAAGGAGAGAAAAACAAGTGTTGTAGATCTGGAAGCAGAACTCATGGCAGAAGTGATATCTTTTATTAGACCAACTATTTGCAAAAAAATATATATATATATATATATATTTGCAAGCTTTCCAGCACATTCACCCTTCCTCAGGCATAGGAACATGCAAAGATTGTAAAATTTCTCCTAGGTGGAAATGAAAATTCATATTTCACAAGACAGCTGAAGGTGTTGTAAGATCTCCTGGTTGGAATAGTTCACTTTGTGCAAATTCAGCTCAGATAAGTTAGAACAGTATGTTTACTTCAATGTAGATCTGGAAATATATTTCTGAGAAATGTAAGTGACAGTTTCAATTATATTTACAAATTTAACTCATAACCCTGCCACCTTTCATCCAGTCTTGTAATGTTTCCCAATTTTTGCCAAAAAAACTTATACCCTACAGATATCTGGTAAAAACAAGTATCGTCATATCAGTTTTATCCATTATGCTCACAAGTGGTAGATACTGGAATTCCTTGAATTAAATTAGGCAGCCTGACTCCTGGATCAAAGAAACATGCACAAGAACTGAATAGCATTAATCCCAAAGTCTAAAAATTAAGTGTTTATTTTTTTTTAAATTAATCTAAATACAAAATGATTCTTTAAATCTTAATATGATTCTGGCTGTCTGACTTACCACCCATGGCTATTCATAGGCATAACAGGGCAGCTCTGCACCCTGGGCAGCAGCTGTCTTTGCACCCTTCTCCCCCACTCCTCAAAGGTAGCCCCTGGAGCCACTGCCCCAGTTGCACCCCCTCAGCAATGCAACTGATGTGTTGTCCAGGAAATGAAGACAGTAAGGAGTTGTTCAAATTTTATTAGTTTATAACCAATTAGCTCACTTGTTTAGAGCACAGCCCTAACACCACCAAGGTTGTAGGTTCAATCCCTGTATAAAGCAAGACAACTTTCCAGCCGCAGGCAGGGGATTGGACTAGATGACCTTGTCCCTTCCAGCCCTATTTCTCTATGATTCACTTCCACCAGTTTTAGTCATCTCACCAAGAATACTTTGTTTGAAAGGCTGACTCTCTCTGAAATGAAAAATCTTTGAAAACTGTTCTTTTGCTATTAGGTTTGGAAAATGCTGGCTTTTACAACACTTAAATATGGATCTAAAACTAGTCACACATTCCATAAAAGTTGAAGTGACTCAACATAAATAATGCAAAACAATGACAGTGTAAGAATGAATCACAGGAACTGATTTCAGGTGTTTTGGATCCATGACTTCACTTTTTAAAATGTATGAAAAGGGCTTTTCCTCCTCTTGTCTCAGCTAACAATCTCCTTTTGGTTAGATGGTTACCAGAAGTGCTCTAAATAGTGTTCCATTAGTTACAGTAAGATACTCAGATCTTTTCAGGTTGTACATTTTAAAAATTAAGTGTGGTATATTTATGTATAGCAGACCTATCAATATATGAAAAATTAACATCCTTTGTAAATAAGACTGTTGGTTATTCTCCTCATCCTAACATGGATTAACATCCATTTTGTAGAGAGAGCTCTATCCATAGCTATACATTTTTGTCAATGTATAGCTATGCTATATGTGCTTACAAAAAACCAATAGAGTGAATCGAAGAGGCACAAGTTACATCGTTCTGGTAAGTAATTTTAAAACAGAAAACTCTCTACTAGCACAGATTAAAACAAATTCCTTTTATTCACACAAGGTAGTGCAAACATATGGTTACTCCAATGGAAGAAATCCCCTATTTTTAGTACTGCAAATTCAAAAAAACATTATTAGCTGCAGTCACCCTCTCATCCAGTATATTTTACCTTTGATAAACATGTCTACCCTTCAATTTAAAGTGAGACAAAATAGAAGCAGTGAGAGCTTAATTTGTAATGTGAGATCAGAGAACACATTCAGACCTGCCGTGCCATGGGAGCAGATCACTAGCTGGCAAAGATGTCACAGTTCCATTGAAGTGAATGCAACTATGGCAGTTTATACCCACTGAGACTGTGCCTATATTTATCTTTTCTTTCCTTCCTATATTCATCTTGTAAAAATATTTTAATGTAGTGTTGTTTCATGTACAATTCATCTAGTAAGTGTGGAAATAAGAGACTCAGTTTTACTCACTAGATATATAGGAACCAATCCTGCTTGTGTTTCATTATCGAGTTGTACGTTTTAGTATAGATGCATAGCTATAAGACAGGAAGAATGCTCTTAGAGGAAAGCACAGTTCCAACAAAGAATGGAGCTGAAATCATATCCATCACTTTCTGCTGAAAAGAGAACTTTTCACTGAATTACAATAGTCCAGAGGTTACTGTGAATATGAAAATATAATCCTAACGAAATAAACAAAAACATGTTTTTTAAAACTTTAACAATTACATTACTGATTTTATTTTTTAATTTCCATAATTTAAAAAACAGACAAGATGTTTGTCAATGCAGGCTCTTGGAAAGAGTCATTCATAAAGCAAGTCCGTGCATAACAGTCAATCGAAAGTGACATTTCTTATTCCAGGGTTTTTTCTTAGGTTTCCAAAACTCATACCAGAAGAAAGCTTATCCTGTATTAATATCTTCAACATCAATAAAACAATTATTACAATAAAATTCTCATTATAAAGTTGAATAGTTTTTCTATTTTAAACATTACGGATTTATTTGAAAAAGCAGACGTTCTCTATTATTTACCCCGGTATAAAACAGTAGGTATAAACCTAATGTAGAAATCCGAAGTTAGATAGTTCCTTTGGCAGTATATTTAGTTACAATCAGGCCTTAAAAATAAATATGATAATGTTTTGAAGTAAGAAGAGAAAAGGTGATCCCATTAACATCAAACCCTCTAAATACACCATTTTAATGACAACAATCAAAATATTATTTTACACTATCTACAAATTGCATAAATGCATCAAAGGATTAGGATTACAAGAAATGACAGGATGCCAAATCCTGCAATATAAAATTTCAAGTTTATTTGTAGAGTGAATGTATATGTCATAATGTGTATATAAAGCCTCAGACAAATGAGTATATACACTATGTATATTAAGAACTAAAATTTGAATCAAACATTAATCCAGTGACTAGTCAATGCTTGTCATCCCAATTTAAGATACTGGACAATATTTATGATGGATCAGAGACTATAAATCAAACAAAAACTTACCTGTATATTTTACTGACAAATGTGATTGATTCTACATAAATGGTAGTAGGGTTAAATCTGATTCAATATATTTTTGACTAGAACAAGTCCTTGCATAAAGAATTTCCAAATGGTAAGAAATCCTTCAAAAAAAAAAAAAAATCAGCATTTGAAATGAATTTGTGCTAATTTTTAAAAAGGACTCAAGGAATGTGTTATCAAAACACAGATGTGATGCCAACTAGAGTAGTTTTTATTAAACAGCTTTAAGTGAAAATTAAAATGCCAAAAAATTTGCAAAAGTTATGCACACTTGGAATTTGTACCATTCAAAGAACGATTACCAAACACTTTGTTCTAATATGAAGCTGCAATTGAACAAAATCATACTGCTGAATCAATTTAGTAACAGTACAAGAAATGGAGGTGGCACTGAATTGAGCGTACATTTTATTTTTGGAGAACACTAGTAGGATCTACAGTGTAATAGTTTTCATTTGATAGAAAAATTATACACCATAACATTCATATGCAGAAATGCTTTCAACAGTTCCATGCATTTAATCGAATGGTTTTATCCAAGTGTTTTCGTCCATTATTTTCCTCAGTCTAAAGATAAGCCATTCATAAAGTTAAAATATTTATAAATATGATTACATTATTGAGCTGATTAAGTAGGTGGGAAGAGAGTGATGTTCAGATTTCCAAAGTAAAAACAATAAAAGGAAAGAAGTCCTGTATTCGTGAAAAAATATCCAACTCTTCTAGTTCTTCTACCCTTTACAAAAGCTACCTATTAAAAAGTGCAGGAAAATGTCTTCAGATTTTTTTATCTACTGAATGCTACAGTTCCACAAGTACAAAGCAGTTCCTTTACAATTTAACATGTACCCATTCTTTATGTATAAAGAAAAATATAATTCCACCACACAGAACACATCCCGCTTTTTACACAGCAGTCTAAACCAATGTTTTCAAGTGATGTAAGAGCTTTTCCATTACTAGATTAATATCAATTCCAGACAAGTGACTGGCAGCTGGGGTTAGGAGGGGACTCAAAGGTAGCAAGAGTTCCCTGGTCTGTAAAGATAATTCTGCTCCGGGGGGGTCTTTCTCCACCTCACCATTACCTGGGAGGAAAACAAAGCAGACCTTCATAGTCCCTCAATACAAGCATTTTGGCGCCTATTTTGTATAAATGGGAATGCAGCAGATACTTCCTTACCCATTCCTAAACCGCCACAAAGGAGAGATATCACAGTTTCCTGGCTAGGTAACTTGCAACCACAGAGTGCTCTCAGTTTGCAGCTGGCCCCTGCCTGCCCTTCTGAAACATCTGATGCTTAAAGTATAAACTCCGATACAGAAGTAGTGAAACAGCTCTGTACCAACACAACACCTGGTGGAAGAAAGAAGAGACCTCTAGAGCTCCAAATCCAGTCTGGCTATAATATAAAAGAAAATCTTAACATTTTTCATTTCTGTATTTACATGGTCCTCATTGCCATGTCTTCAAAACAATTTCCTCTCTGAGTTCACATTTGCTTTACCATGCAATTGTTCTGAGTATGTAATACAATCCACACAGTAGAGCTGACAATGGTGCAAACAAGACTACAATGCATCTAAATCAAAAAACACCATTTAAATGAAGGTTTCCCTAAGTCAATGAGATGGAAAAAATGCAAAAAGGTAACAGACAAAGCAACAAAGAACTAGATTTTAAAACAAACTCAATTTTTCAACATACTAAAAAAAAGAATCAATTCTCTTTTGGACAATCTATTACTTAATTTTAGATTTGAAAGTGATGCTTCAAGAGATTGAAGGAAGTGTTTTAAGTTGATTGATACTCACTTTGGGTTTGAAATCATAAACTTAAGTAGTTAGTTAATCTAGCTCAAATCATTTCTAGGGAGATTCCGAACAAAAAACAGTCAAACAAAGTATGTTTTACTTTGCATAATAACGCAAGTTGGGTTGTTGAAAATATACTTTGAGATCAATGACAAGCAGTCATAAATCATTAGGTTCAGCAACATTTAGAAACTCTTTCAGAAATATAAGCCTAGTTTGTTTTCAAAGGAGAGGCTGTTGATGGTAATTTGTTTGAGGCGGCAGAACTGAAGGAGCGGAAACTGCCATAGGGTAGCCTGTTCCTTGAGGCAAACTAGACGTAGTGTTCTGGTAAGCTGACATATCCACCGACATTCCCATCTGCTGGGTGTAAGCAGCTTGACTGGTAGCTGACTGAAGGCCAGAGTTCTGGTTCATATACGCGGGGTTTGACACAGAATCTGGTCCAGCACTACAAGAGGAAAAAAAGAAGAGAAAAAAAGAAAAGATCTCATCGGAGCAAGATACATTGAAAACTTAACTAATAAATAAATTTGCTATAATAATGATCACATTGGCACACAAAGGATTTGCATGTTTCCAAAGTAATAAAAAGCAGTATTTTCATATTCATTCCAATCTTCTCCTTCCCCACTCTTTGCCTCACCAGACACAAAGTCATAACTATATACTGGGGAAAGTTAATCTTTAGATTAAAGCATCTTGCTAAAGCATTACCTTATATATGCAGTCTGAGCCGCCTGAGTTGCTCCAGAAGTGTTTATACTCTGAGGCAGAGACCTTAGCTGGCCCATCTGATCGGGTCCTAGACTGTAACCTTGGGGAAGAGTGACTTGGTGAACACCCTGAATCATGTAGTTCCCACCAGGTGGCTGTAGTGGATAGGGCTATAAATAAAATAGAATACATACCACTTCTGAATTGATTAATAATAAACACACAATATAAATATGTCAAATAAATAAATGCTCAGACTTCCTCCATATAGCTCTACATGCTACAAGTGTGACAGTAAAGCCTGCAACATTTTCAATTTAAAATTAAATAAGTGACAAAGTAAGACATGTGGCTTTTTTTCCTATTAAGGAAGTACAGGATTTAAACAGAAAAATCCTCACTACTCATATCAGTGATTTTGTTAAGGAAAGATCAAGCTGACATTCCCTTGGAGACAGTACAGCTACAATATGGTAGACTGTTCCTTCAAGTGTTACACATATAACCTATATCAGGGGTATCAAACTCACATTGTGCCCTGGACCATAGGGCTTCTTGTGGGCTAGATCTAGCATGAGGCAGAGGGAAGCAGTGGCAGTGGCAGTTTCTGAAGCAGCAGAATTATCTCTGAGCTAGAGCACAGAGCAGAGGTTCCAGGGATGCCCTGTGCTAGTGCTGGGGCCAGAGCCAGAATTGCTGCATGCCCTGTGCCTCCGTTGTGGCTCAAGCTCCAGCACGAGGCACACAGCAGGGTCTGGCAGCCAGGAAGGTAGGGTTGCAGCACTGCAGACATGCAAAGTGGCTGGAGGACAACCAGAGCCGCATCAGCTTTCACTCCCCTTCCTGCTGCTGATCACCAAGTTCATTGGGGCCCAAGGGCCCCAGGTTCTGCAGCAGGCTACTATCCCCAGCCATACAGGTAGTCCAGTGGGCTCAACAGAGTGTGGGCCATATATCTGACAGCCCTCATCTGTCATTTCTGCCTTTCTTGGCAGCCTTCTTGCTCTATTTTTACCTTGTCCTCCATTTAGCAATTTCACATCATACAATTTAGATATAAAAGCTTGAAGAAAAAAAAAAGTTGCTGCTCCATCCTCCCACTCCCTATATTTATTTATACTATATCTCCCTTGGACATGCCTCCTAAGAGATATTTGCAATTTAGTGCATCACAAGAAAGAAGAAACCAAATTTACCAAACATACAACGAGAAAAAAAATGAATGCAGTTGGATATGCAAAAACTCACAATCCTAACTTACTGTCATGTGGCAGGAAAATTTTACATCTCTTATATCTGACATAAGGGAAAAACAAGTAACAATTCCTTGAATGTGTGGCAAGTAACCACATCCATCTTAATGATATTTAGTGTATAGTCACTGCATAGGAAAAGGTATGTATTCCACACAAAGGATTGGGTTTTCCTTTAATACATCACTATTCAGGACAAATCTAGAGTAAGGCAATGTAACAAATACATACAGGTAAACATCATATTCATATGGTACACATCATATTCTCCTTGGAATGAAGTCTATGCATGAAATATACATCTTTGCAGAAAACAATGGTGCTTATCACTATTTTACTTGTTTTCACAGCAGAAAGGAACAGTATCTCAGAAAAGAATAGCAATATTAAACTACTGTTGGCTTTGTGCTCAGAATTCTTCCACCCCCAAATATAATGAAGCTTTCATTTCCAATAGTTCAAGGCATGGCATAATAGTTAAGTGCATCTTCTTTGATGTGGCAGTTGCTATGGTAACTATTCTTTCTACACTGAACAATTAACATTCAGGAAAAACTACCTAAAATACTCATTCTACTTTGCCTCCCAAGTGTTTCCTTGAAAACAGTGCCTGCCTTTTCTCCTTTTCTTGCTTTCATAAATGAATGTTTGGCACATAACAGCTCATTCCACTTCACTTTTGTTAATTTAACCCACTAATGCCTAATGCTTAATTTGTGTAGAAAGATTGTAATTCTGCTTCAGATTTCTCATCACGTTTAGAAAAAATGCATTGCCCTAATGATTCACATACAATATTAGACAGTTCAATCATGCCTCTGAAAACAGATAAAAGTAATGTTCTGTTTTAGAACTGAAGGAGAACATACGACTCATAGTAAATCTATGCTTTTAGCCTTTGAAACGTGTGATTCTAAAAGTACAATTTTCTCTGAGTGATGTCTACTGGAAAACTAGTTAACTGTGGCAGTGAAGCTTTCAACCTTCTGAATGTAATATCTTCCTATTAAATGCACAACAAAGATTAACAATTGCACTTTAGTACTGGAATGTAATTATGAAAGACACTCATTTCATTCTAACACATTTAGGATATTTTATTCTAAACTCTAAAAACTCTGGGTTTGAAATGTACAGCCTGCAGGCCAAATCCAACACGCAGGACTCCCCGAGGAGCTGGGAATTTGGGGCAGAATGAACATGGGCAGGGCCCACCACCAAAATCTAACATCTGAAGACCTGCTGGAGACGCATGTTGGCAGGTGGAGGTGAGTGATGGCTGGCTTAACCCTGATTCCATTGCTGCTTGCCCCACTACTGCCACCACATCCAGATCTGTCCTGTGAAAAGCCCCCTTGTCCAGATCTGACCTTCAAGGAAGGGTGAATGACACTCCTGCTATAAAGGATTGCATGGAAGTGTCAGACCGTTTTTAAAGCTCATAATAAAGCTTGCTTTTTATACTTTCGTATCAACTTTTTAAAAGAAAAATGAATATTAGAAAAATATTCGAAAAGGGGCACTGACCTGCACTGGAACACCAGCTGATGTAGGTGGATATTGTGCTTGAGAATGGAGTTTTGAATAGGCTGAATACAAAGGTGCTTCATTCATCAGCTTGTTATAGAGTTCCAAGGCTTCTAGTACTTTCACATTCAACTCAGAGAATTCTGAATGTTTCCTGATTAAATACAATTTTTTTTCAAATATTTCTTTATTTAACAGTGGTTAACATTAAATAAGTTGGTTTTTTTTTTTGGTTTTTTTTTTTAAATACAGTCTTAACTACATAAGAAAAATGAAAAAAAAAGAAACACTCGACTTGTATTTCCAACATTTCCAGTACCCATTCCATTGGTCAGACTACTGGAACCGAAGGAGGCAAGTCAAAGAAGAGGTTAAGGATTGTTCACTAAGCCTTAAAAAAAATGCATCCCCTGATCTGTCCTTTTTTTGCTGCCTTTTCCTTTTCCTCATTCATCATCAAATCCTAAGTCAGGTAGAAACTGCCATATTTTAACTATGTTCCCATATCACTTACAGGTCTTCAACTGACTGAAAAACGTCAGGATGAAACAATTCTGGACATCACTGATGGCTTCTTGGAGAATAAGAGCTACTGTATAGCCCTGCATATTTAGTCAGGAAGTTGTTTAAGGCAAAAATTAGTTCTTACTACATACTGGTACATAATGGGGCCCTGTTCTTGGCTGAGGCTTCCAGGACCTACTGAAATAAAATTTTAAAAACCCTAAATAAAAAGAAGAGTAAAACAAGTTCTTGTCAAATTTTCATTCTAAAAGATCTTTGTTTAGGTAAAAGAGAAGTATAAAAATATTATAATCACACACCCAATTCAAAAAAATAAAACTCAGGTAGAATATATATAGCAATGTTTTATCCTTGATTGCAAACACCAGTAAGAGATTATGCCTCACCTATCTATCTCCTCTAGCTTTTCATCTATCATAGGACCCATCTGTTGACAGACATCTGTGAAGACAAAAATGTTAAAAGTATTGGACAATTAGAACTTAAAGTGTATATTATAATTGAGTACTTCTGTATTTTGCAGAGGTTTAAGACAGTGTCAAAAATGCATCTAATTTAATTATACATTCCCCATCACCATAATTTGAACTATTTCTGTTAAAAAAAATACAGCATCTTTTTCCTTCCTAGTAAGCAGGAAGGAAAGGGGGGGGGGAAACAAACAGCTTGATTTGCTACAGGATTAAAACAAACAAAGCAACAAAAAGAACCGGGTGAACCTTGACAGATGTAAGATTGCGTCACATCATCTGATACCTATACAAGCAGTTAAGATGTAGTTTAACTCCATGCTCCTGTAGCAACACAACTGTGGTAAAATCATTGCAACTAACTTCACTCTTATTGATGGTAACTTTGACAGTGATCTAGCTCACCTGTATTACTGCAGTACCAAAGGTTATATCATAACAGTTGATACGCACTCCAAAATTCAAGTCTACCTTCCCTTTTGTAGCAGTTAAAGGCCACGTACAAATTTGTGTCAGAAAAAAGCCCCTCTCAGCACTAAAAGGAGAGCATACAGCCATTCAAGGGCTTTCTTGCAAAAGAAATATAACTCTTATGCAAGACGTTAGATAGATTATTTATAAGGAAAACTTCCTCCTGATCTAACTTGAACACCTGTACGCTTCTTTCAAGAGAGACACGCCCAGTATCCCAGAGTCTTTTGCTTTCCTTCTCCTCCCTCTCCAAGACCAGCAGTAGGGGGCCATTCTCCTGCGGCAGGATTCCTCTTGGAGCCCTGCAAGCGTTCCCACTACAAGAAAAGATCACCCCCACTGCAGTCCTCCAATTCCACAGGAGAAAGGGGCCTTGCCACCACAGCATAATTGCACCCTATCTCCTCCTTGCACCCCTAAGCCTCCCTGGTGGAACCAAAGGTGGACAAGGACAAGCATCAGAGATGCTGTGACTGTAAAGCTGCCTGGGTTTGGGCAGCCTTGCTGCTGTGGAAAAAGTGTCTTGCATCCTGCATCTCTCCAGCTCTACCCGGAGGAATGTGGAAGGCAGGAGACAGATGTGCCATGGCTACAAGAGATTCCCAGAGACTGAAAAGCTTAGTTCCCAGCCTCTGGCCTTTAAATGCCTCCCCTGCTGCAAAACCCCAGTGGCCAAGAAAGTTATACCCACTTCAGTTCATGACCCCATGGGATTTAAATGCCACCCACCTGGGTTTAAAAGCTAGGTAAAAAGCTGCAAAGCCAGAACACAGGGTTCATAGAATCACAGAATCAATGAGTTGGAAGGGACCTAGACAGATCTAGTCCAACCCCCTGCCATGGGCAGGAAGGAGCACTGGGGGTGGCAGGGGTCATAAGACCCCAGCCAGGTGCCTATCCAGTCTCCTCTTGAAGACTTCCAGGGAAGGTGAGAGCACCACCTCTCTGGGAAGCCTATTCCAGGCTCTGGCCACCACCTCTCTGGGAAGCCTATTCCAGGCTCTGGCCACCCTTACAGTGAAGTAGTTCTTCCTAATATCCAACCTAAACCTATCTTCCCTCAGCTTGTGGCCATTGTTCCTGGCGACTCCAAGGGGGGCCCTGGTGAACAGACTTGCCCAAGTCCCTGCTGGTGGCCCCTGATAAGGTTGTAGGGTTGGCAAAAGATGTCTCTGGCCGTACTTCCCCATGCCTCACGTTTTAAATAGTCCTGTGTGGGGCCCATCTTGGCTGCACATGAAGCCCTTTAAAACCCAGGGGGTGCCTACCGACAGCCCGCCCCCTTCCCAGGTACGGTAGAGGACAGCCTTTCAAGTGGCGGTCTCCCCTTAAGGCAAGGATGGCCTAGGGAGCAGCCCTCTAGTCTCCCCTGGCTGGAAAGCTCACCCATATAGCTCTTCAGCCAGGGGCTGGAACTTGTGTACTCTCCAGCTCACAGCTGAATTTTCTACTAGTAAGAATTTCTGAGAAATTACTAGAAGACATGAACATTTGTAAATGGCCAAAGTTAGTTCTGTCCATAGCCAGAATCACATATACATAACTTCCTCAGGAACACCTGTCGAAAACCAGACCCTAAGTTATGTATTTAGTACTGTAAACTGCAAGGCCTGCAATCATTCTCATCTCTTACAGACATTCCATAGTTCCGGTCTAGGTCCCGTGAAAAAGGTCTCTTATACTCATGATCTTCCTTAATCCTAGCTTGCTTCATTCTAGAAATGTATGTTAGACATATATTCAGGCTGCGTACACCCTTTCAAATGATCTGGGAGAATTCTCACAGGTTTGTTCTCCTGGTAGAAAATCTTACCCAGAAAGGTCTTGAAGAATGAAGAGCTTGCAATGCTGACAGTGTGTTGCAAAGGGAGGACCTATGCACATATCCCAGCAAGCTCTGCAGGTTTCCTTAGTTAGATAGGAGCAGGGCATAGGGCAGCCCTGATTGACAGATCCAGACTGCTCATGGTCAGCCTGCATTTCCCTGCAGCACAATGTGGGGACTGTGAACAGGGTGTGTTCTGCTCCCTGCTGAAGCAGCAGAGTCCAGCAAACACCAGTCTCACAGGGTGGGGAGATGCTGGAGGACCATATTCTCTTCTGAGAGAAGCTACAGCATGTACAGATCTTTGCTGTCCCAGAAAAAACAATCCTAACAGTGATTCAACCCTGGTCATTCCCAAGTTCTCTCTCTCCTGGAGCAGCCATTTTTATCCTGAGAGAAAAAGCCTGAACAGCTGTATGCTCATTTCTCCCGGGAGAGCCGTGACTATCTCAAGGAGAAACTGAATGTCTATAACGAGGCCTCAATTTCTACTGGCCTCATTTTCTCAAGTTCTGACAGCATTATTCTATTTAAACTATTGTATCCAAGTCCTTTAGGTTAATACAAAGGATGATATATCACCTTTTGCTTTTTTCAAAATCTTGACTTCTAAAACTAAATGTTTAAACATCAAAACTAAGGCATTCTTCTTCCTCCTGAGAAAAGAAAGTAGCTTTAAAGTAACTCTTAATGACATAGGCAAGTAGCACTCAAGCCAAATGCGTCTTCCAGAAAAATGCAGTCTATGACCTAACTAGAGGCTTAAGCTTCTCATCACTCAATATAAGAGTTTTACTTTACAATTACAGGTTGTATTCCAAAATATGAATAGCATTAAACTGGGAATCAAGCCCAAGTCTCCTACTACGAAGCAAACTGTTTCTGACCATTTTATCAATACAAATGCAGATTTGTTTTTCCACATAAAGGTTAGAGAACTACCAAATGAAACGAAAGGAGAAAATAATGGTACTCTTGCCACAAGTAATAGAATTGAATATTACAGTTGGCTCATTTAATATTACACAAAAATACCTTCCAAGTCCAGAAGGTCTGGAGAATCTGGCTTTGAATCTGTAGGATCTATACTCTGAAGTACCTGAAGTGCTTTATCCATCTTATCCTGAAAAGCAGAGAGGAAATAAGAAATAATTCTTAAAGCATAGCATAGAGTACTTCATTTTCAAATGAAAAAAAAGGAAGGTTGTTTGTTAATAAACAATTTTTTTTCTCCATCATGCATTTTCAGTCAGTACAGAAAGAATATTTGTATAAAACTTATATAATATACCCCATGATTTCCATTCATTAAAAATGACTGCATACCTCATCTATATAAACTGGTTCAGGTTCTGCTTTCTTAATTTCTTCTATTGTATCTTCAGTAACAGACGTTTTATCCACAGTCGCTAAAAGAACACAAAAAGGTGTCACTTTCTTTTCTGCAGCTTTGTTACTATCTTAATCTAAAATACGTTGTTCTAGTCTAAAAAATACTACATAGTTTATACCAGCAATTTTCAACCTCATTACACTCAAGGCACCCCTCAGAAAATGCCAGCTCTTACTTTCACAATAATAAAGCAATCTTTCTGTCGCAAAGAACTCAACAAAACTACAACAGATCGGAACATTTCTGGCACTATGGACTCCTATTCAAAATCTCTGGGTTTATCTTGTGAATTCTGCACCAGTGTTTGCACGCTGAATAGTGGCATCCTGGTTGAGAATCATTTGGTACATATAGACACAGTATTTAAATACCGCTTGCTATCAAATGTTCAGGTCAAGGAGTATTTAGTAAAGCTGAACACTTTCTACAAAGTGATGCTCTCAGAATTTGAAGAGGGAACAAGGCATTATATAACAAACTTAAAATGATCTGTCTGAGATTAAGATATTAAGTCCAGAGTTCCAGGAACCAAAGTAAAAAACCATTACCAAGGGCCCAAGCAAGGGAAATACTCTATTTTTTGATTCCAGTATCTGATACAAACTTATCATTTCCACAACACCAGTTTGTTGTGGAATTTAAAATGTTAAGATTAACCTCAATCAAAAGTGTAAAGAAAAGAAAATCAGTAACAAAAACAAGAACTGACCAAACTATAACTACATCCATGTTAAATTAGCGTAGCAGCTTTCAAGCTATAATCAACGCGTTAGTGTTGCTGGTTGTAGCTCTGTTAGTCTAAGAACATAAGGCAGACAAAAGATATTGCATCTACCCAAACAACCTTATTAGACCAACTAAGTAGCTGGAAAAAAAATGTTCTTTGCAAGATTTGGGGCATATACACCCTTCTTCAGGCATAAGGAGAGTCTGTTGGTGTTTGTGTTTCTATTTTACCCAGGAGAGCACACAAACACCAACAGGGTCTCCTTATGCCTGAAGAAGGGTGTTTGTGCCCAAAAGCTTGCGAAAAACAAATTTGCTAACTATTTAGTTGGTCTAATAAAAAGATATCACATCTACCCACATAACCTTGTCAAGCTATAAAATCAAAGCATTTTAGATGCTAGGTTCCTAATTCAGATATAGGTTTGTTTTTCACAAGAAATTTTCTGTTATAGAAATGAAGGTGATTTAGCAGAACAAGTCAAGGATGAAAGTCCAATCTCCACCGAGCTCAGTAGAAGTTCCATTGACTTCAGTGGAATTAGGATTTCATTCTGTTGTTTTTTTTCCTGCCTTAGGACACGACCCTGGGCAAATCACATTGCTCCTGGTGACTATACATGCCCCTCTCTCTGAAGTAGTGTGCTTCTTTTTACTACATAACTTACCTGTTTCAGGTTCTACATTTAAATTAGAGGTTACGAAATTAGATGGGAAAAGTCCTACTCCTCTATGATTTTCACCTTTCCACCAATTGGTATCACTGAGGAATTAAAAACAGTTCTGTTAAAAAAAAACACTCTTGGTATTTATGAAGTTAGAATCCCATCTAGATTCTATATAGCAAAGGGTTCTTATCCCATCACTCAGTTACTAAGATTAGCAAACTACAGGCAATATTAATGCTGGATTTTATGATTAACACTATTTCAGCAGAACCTCATCAGCAATCCCAGTCCCAAAACTATCCAAGTGCTATTACTGGAGCAAGATATTTTGCTGTAAAGAGAAGAGCATCTCCAGCACTGACACAGGCCAGATACAGTATTACATTTCTACCATGGGAATCACACTTCTCTTGGTAGGAAACAGAAAAGTACAGGTATTCATACAGTTTTTTCTGGAATAATAATGGTAATTCTGGGAGAAAAATAACCCATCCACCTGGGAGAAGTTGCTGCACTTCCCCACTGCTTGACTCCTGGAGGCCAAGAGAAGTAAAATAGCAGGGAAAGTTTCCTATTCCTTCCAAAGACTGGGGTCATCTCAATCTGGAAAAGACATGGGGGACCCGTCCTGTAATTCAGAAGGATAACGGAGGAGCAGCTGCCAGCTGTTCCCCACCGGCTCCTTGCACTGGGCAGCACTTTGCAGCGCTGCTTAGTGCTTAACATTACAAATGAACACCTTTATATGGTCACAATAATTGACAACTCAGAGGCACTTCGCAGGATCAGACCTAAAGCCTACAATGAAAGGAGACTAAGCTACTCTACTTTGGCTTTCATTTACCATATGGTAAGAGCATGCACACTGACAGCTGCCACAGAGCAGCTGACACAGTAAAACCCTACATACCTTTACTTTGCTCACATGTCCATATCCATTCCGTTTTATAGCAGGGTTAAAAAAAATAACAATCTCTAAATGCACATAACTTACAGACCCAAAATAATCAGATCTAAACCAGGCAAGGAACAAAATTTGAATATGGGTAGGCTGTCAGAGCACACCCTCTGCACATGGAATACTTGGTGACTTCAAAGGGAGATCCATGCACAGTATAATAGAAGAACTGAACCTACAGAAAATAAGCTAGGAAAAAGTGCAGTATTTGGCAATTAATTGGAAACTCTGAATTTTAAAGGATGGCACAAAAGTAGACAGTGTCAAGAATGGATGAAAGAAAACAGTCCGTAGACAACTAACAAAAAGGAATTTAGATACCCACAGCCAACAACCCATTTTAGAAATAAAAGCACCTTATCTGAACATACTGTACCTGTCATCCAAAACAATAATAATTTCTCCACTTTTAAAGGTGAGCTCATTGTCCTCCACAGCTTCGAAGTCATACAGAGCTCGCACCTTCCTTGAGATTTTCTGATTGTTCTGTTGAATTTCTGCAGATGGGTATAAAGATTTAGTTTCCATTTGCTGCTGCTTCTGTTCTTGCAAAGATAATTCAATAGCTACAATTAGGAAAATAAAAAAAGAAGTCTGTACATTTTATCCTTCATGCACAAATGATTTTAGTTTCTGAAGAGAGAAAAAGTAAGATACAAATAAAGTTCTATGCATCTGTTCTTCTACTTTTAACTTAAAATTCCTTATTCTTAGATGTTATTATGTCCCATGAAAGTCCAGGGACTCTGCTCTTCCCTCCAGTTTGAGGGTACAGAAGACAAGATATAGGCATGAACAAGTAATTACAGGCAGTCCTCAACTTACAACTTTTCAATTTATGACGAACTGCACTTACGACCTTTATAAATTGACACCATGTTTCGAGGTTCTGATGCGGGTTTCAACTTTACAATACTTGATACAGCTGCATCCAGCTGGTAAGTCTAGAAGGGGAGGGAGAGAAGGGGCAGATCAACGACCCCGCAGCAAAGGAGGGATTGAGGCTTGGTCAGGGGCTGGGGCAAGCACTGCCCTGCCAGGGTGAGGGGGACATGGGATGTAGGCACAGTGCGTCCAGGGGGCAGCTCCCGCTGCTGCCTGATGCTGGTCCGGGAGCTGCTCGTCCGGCAGCTCCTGCCACTGCTCCCACCACTCGTCCGGAAGGGCACAGGGGGCATGTGCCCCCAGATCTGCACCGGGCAGGCATGGCTAGGGCTGTACCGCACTGAGCTCTGTGCGGGCGCAGGGGCTATAACTTGCTGGCACTCGCCCAGCTGGGGCAGGGTGTGAGGGCGCAGGACGGAGCCACTGCACTGCCTCCGGACAAGTGGCACACAGCAGCAGGAGCCGCACCACCCTGCCCATACCCCCAGGATGAGCTGCGCCTTTGTCCCATACCCCCCCGCCCCACCCCACCCAGGTGATCAGCAGAAGGCATGGGGAGGACATGTGCCCTCAGATTGGGGGATATGGGGAGGGGGGGGTTGTAGCCACCTGAAAATTCACCGTAGCCCACTCATAGCCCCTGCTGCCCACCTGGAGCGCAGCATGGTGCAGCCTCAGCCTTGGCAGTCCTGCACAGATCTGGGGGCAAGCACCCCCCGCCCCAAACCCATGCCCTCCTGGAAGCAGCGGCAGAAGCTCCCAGACAAGAGGCACGCAGTGGTGGGAGGCCCCCCCCCACGCCAACCCCCCCGGACAAG